GTCAAGACGAGTATTTTCAACGTTCCGTTGTCATAAGGGGAGCATGTGAAAACAGTTTATGTCCCATAAGATTTAGTGGAGGGAGGATTCAATTTTCCACAGGACTCGAATCGAAAATTCACCAAGGATTAGCTTACCCGAACACTTGCTGCAGAAGGTCGTCACCTCCGCCCCGGCAACCTTCTGGGACGACTGAGCGGAGCTGTAGAGTCTAGATCACAAGTTATGCTCAAACGAGTTGACGTCGCGAAGGCAACACATGTGTGTGCAGACACACAGACACAGGCACAGACACGAGAGGGAGTAAAAATTCCGCGAAGCTCAATCAGCCCAGACGAGCGGCTCCACTCGTCGGGCCGCGAAAGGGAGCCGGCTTCAGAAGCAAGCTCGAGCCCGCGCACGAACACGGTCATGCGCGGAGGCACCAGCACTCGAAGGTCGCCGGAACTGCTCAAATGGGGCAGGGGCGTAAGATACCGAAAAGCCAGCGGATCATTGAGGTAGAGGTGAGAAGACTTTCTTCACTCTGTTGCAACACTCAGTGTCAGGATGGAGGGTAGATGCAATCTGATGACTGAAGTGGGAAATTAACTCTCAAGGGTTGCTTAGCTGAGAGGTCACCTTTCTGACCGAGCCCAAATTCTCACATCGAAATCAAATATCGCTCCCTAATCTCCCACTAGGACACAACATAATATACAACCACTCTTCCACTTTCTGTATCTTTCTCTCTTTCTCGCGATCGCTCACTCTGGAATTTCCTATCGTTCTCTCCTTCCCTGTTTCTTCTCCTTGTTTTCGCGTCATTGTTGCCCAAATCTTCACTGTCTATCTTTGTCCCATTTTCTCGGACGCTATCGCGTCGACTACAAGGCCCTTCGTCTCTGGCCCTAGTCCACAGCCGAGTCTTTCTTTCTGCCCCTCCCTTCTTTATCCGGCTCTCTTTCTCTCCCTGTTTCACTGCCTACTACCAGTGGGAAATCGTCTCGGCAACCCTGCCATGCGAGAGAGGAGGACATCCATACAGGCGGTTGGCCAATCAGGTTCCGCCTCTCCTCGACAGGTTGCTTTATCTACCCATAATATCTTTTGCCCGGGCTGAAAGGTGTTGTGTACTCTCTGACACTATCGGATGGATATACACGCACACAAGAATGCAGAGGGGGATCAACGGGCGGATCACAGGCCGAAAGGAGTCAGGGCACAGGGAAGATGAACAGGCAAAGGGAGCCGGACAGAGAGCAAAGCGAGCCAATTAAATGCGAACCGACCTGGAAAGGGGAACAAAACATGGGGTGGGCAAATTGACTTAAAAGCGCCCGCAGTGGCACGTCTGTATCTCCACATTCGCGTAGGGAATTCCTACTAAGCATAATTCATGCACACTTACATACGCATAATGATACATCTTTTAAAACACACACAGATGCACAAACAGACCCGTATTCACAACCTATTTGCACTTTACGTTGAGTAGCACTCTCAGCCTATTCATCCCATTTACATAATAGGGAAAAAATGTGTGAAATAGGCAACTAAACCTTTGAAAATGTCAGTTTTTGTGGTGTCTGACCGAAAAATGATGAGCAAGTGTGGTCTATGGGTATAGTTCTTAGAAGGGCAATCCCTATTTCATCTGAGGTCGTATTCCAATCTATCTATC